TCAGACTCGTTTCCCGTCGCCCCGTTGGCGACCCTCTTAGCAAATTACTTCTGATTTCAAGTTTCTTACTCCGAGAGAATTTGAAAAAATCGTCAATTTATTTCAAAATACGAGGAAGCAACTTCCATCTGTCGTTTTTCTTTTTCATAAATCTTAAACTTTCCGGCATTCTTTCGCGAGCTTGGAATTGTAGCTCGGCAGCTCGTAATAATTTCTCATTTGCGAACTTTCTCGAGCGTTATCTTTTTTTTCGCGCTAGTTGGCTCCGCGAGTACGAAACTCAGTGTACATAACGAAAATTTAAAACCTGCATTTTATCTCTCGATTACTCGAACCGAAGATTTGCATGGTAGAATCGTTCCTAACGGAAGACGTTTTAACCCTTTATTCATTGAATTTTTTACGAGTTTTTAAAATATTTGCTTTTTGAATACTTAATTTAAGTGTAGGTATACAATCTATAACGTTACGTTCGTTAGAAGTCATATGCAAAACTTGTTGTTATTTTGTTGTGTATTTCAGTGCATATTACGTAAAATATAATAATTAAAATAAGAAATGAAATAAGTAAGAAATAATTTTATACATAATATAAAAATTTATAGAATAGACAGAAAAGCAGTCAATGTTATATTAGGTCGAGTCATAAGTAACTTCCGTTTTTTTATCAGACATTTATTTCGTTCTCATTAAACAACAAAATTATATTATTTTATTATATATTCACCACTATTTTCTATACCCTTCTCCCATTTTCCTGGTAGTTTATCAATTCCTTCCTTGTAAAATGTGGTTGGTTTGGACTGGAAGAAGCTTTCAACAGCCTGCCTGACTTGCTCTTCAGAATTGAAGGTTTTTCCATTTAAAAAGTTTTGTAAGGAACAGAAAAGGTGGTAGTCTGTCGGGGCAAGATCTGAGGAGTAAGGTGGATGTGGTAAAACAGACCATCCAAGCTCAAGAATTTTTTCTTGAGTCACCCTTGCTGTATGCGGTCGCGCGTCGTCGTGTAAAAGAATGACATTTCTGCGATTGACGAGTGCAGCGCGCTTTTCTAGGAGTTTCTCTTGCACTCTTTGCAATTGCTGAATGTATTTATCCGCAGTAATCGTTAAATTTGACTTCAACAACTCGTGGTGACTTATACCTTCATAATCTCACCATACACACAATAAAATCTATTTAGCTGCATCGGAAGTTACTTATGACTCGACCTAATAGTATAATATATGTATATAGTATCAATATATAGTATAATATAATATTTAGTTCTTATGGTATAAAAAGAATTTTGATCTCATTTATACACAGTAATACATTTTGAACACTGAATCTTGACTCAACTTTTCCAGAAGAAATTTCTAGGAAACATTTTCACATTTTCGTGACAAATGTTTGCCAGAGGCATTCAGTGTTCTGGAAACGTATCTTTGGGGACAGGTGCAGATTTCCTCCTCAAAGCTCACTAAAAGACGATGCAAATAAGTATTTTACTTGTGCTAACACACGGACGATTTTCAACCTTCCAGACATCCATCTTGATCCATCTCATTCCAGATCCATCTTGATCTCACATCTTACATAAACCATTCATTTCGAAAAAGCTATCATTTCAAAAGTATTATACACATGTAAAATATATGAAAAGAACCACAAATACAAGTTCATATACTCTCTACAAATATGTACCCCTGTGACATGACACACGTCCATAACCGAGCTCAACTTCATAGTATTGTGTGTGCGTCGTGGAATATACCACCGAACGGTAAACAAAAAAATTTGGGGGAAATTGGAGATTTGGAGGTTTGGAAATTTGGAAATTTGGAAAATTGGAAAATTGGAGATTTCGAAATTTGGAAATTTGGAAATTTGGAAACTTGGAAACTTGGAAATTTCGAAATTTGAAAATTTGGAAATTCGGAATTTTGGAAATTAGGAAATTAGGAAATTAGGAAATTTGGAAACTTGGAAATTTGGAAATTTGGAAATTTGAAAATTTGGAAATTTGGAGGTTTGGAAATTTGAGAATTTGGGAATTTGGGAATTTGGGAATTTGGGAATTTGGAAAGTTGGGAATTTGGGAATTTGGGAATTTTAGAATTTAGAAATTTGGAAAGTTGGGAATTTAGAAGCTTGGAAATATATGTATTTATAAATTTGTAAATTACCAAATTTAAAAATATGCCAACTCAAGTAATTGAAACCTTAAAAATGTACAAATTTCATCAATTGAGTATCTATTTATCTCAAAACACGAATTTCGAAATTTGCAAACTTAGACATTTTGTGTGTTCGCATTAGCGAACGTTCGCATAAGTCAAGAGACATTTGTATCACGCTACAAATATCTAAACTTACGTGCATTAGAATTCAAAGTCCAAGCTCTTGGTATCAGGTCTCACAGATTCGGTATCTAGTCTTGCAAATTAGATCTCTCAACTATCTGATCCGTATCCGATGTCGTTTGTATCAACCCTTACGTACTTTGACTACCACTTCTATTCAGTTTCACGAAATTTGACCCACGTTCCTTCGTGAAACCTATCATCCTATCCAGATGCATCTGTTTATTAACTGTTAATTACAAATTCACTGAAGTTCTGACTTCGCGTGCTACATCCCTTTCTGCTTGAAATTCAATAGTACCTTCGTTCTTCAAATATGAACTCAATTTAAATTAAACTCAAAATGTTTCTATAATAAATTACAAATTTGTAATAAATTTTTAAGCTAAAACTTTTAGAAGATTTATTTTAGTAAATGTTTAGAGGGTGGAAACATAAAAATGTTTTCTACCACCCATATTGAAACTTTCAAAGATTATTTATAATTTTTTTCAAGTTAAAATAATGAGCTGAGGTCTTAAATGTCCCAATGTATCAGGTATGTTATTTTAAGAATGTGTAAAAAAATACTTCTTTTGTAGAAAAGAAATCTCAATCCTCGATTCAATCGAACAATTCACCTTGTTCGGAACGTTCAAATAAATACCGATAGGGAAACGTTTTTCACTAGAACGACTGTTCCTCCAATCGGAACAATCCAGTCAACAGTGGTTAATTTCGACCCAATCAGTCCGAGATATTCCCACTGTCAAATTATCTGTCAACTCGTCACACCTCGAAACAGGCATTTCACGCTTGTGTTTCGTACACGCGAACGCTGCTATAATCTGCTTGCAGTTCTGCCGTTGCACCCAAGTATCGAACATATCGATTCCGTTTAATTGAGAACCGTAGCGTGCATCCGAAAATAAATCAACTGGTAAATCGTCGAACATGCATCGCGTTCTGTTTCGTGATGCTCGTCAAAAATTATCGATCGACCTAATAAAATCTCTCACATTCAAATAATTCTGATAGCAAGATAGTGGGTTGCTGCCTTGTGATCAGTTTTGAGATATTAAATATTCATTGTAACATTCAAACATTCGGCCATTCAACCATTCAAACATGCATTCAAAAGTTCAGACATTCATTTAAACATTCAAACATTCATTCAGATATTCAATTAATTGTTCAAACATGCATTCAAACATTCAAACATTTATTCCAATATTTAATAATAAAATACTCAAACATTCATTCAGACATTCAATTAATCAGTCAAACATTCAGACATTCATTCAATCATTCAAACGTTCATTCAGGCATTCAATTAATCATTCAAACATTCAAACATTCAATCATTCAAACACTCAAACATTCATTCAGATAGTCATTCAAGCAGTCATTCAAACATTCAGACATGCATTCAAACATGGATTCAAACACTCAAACATTCATTCGAACATTCAGAGATTCATTCAGACATTCATTCAGACATTAAATTAATCATCCAAACATGCATTCAAACATTGAGACATTCATTCAAACATTCAAACATTCAATCATTCAAACACTCAAACATTCATTCAGACATTCGACTAATCATTCAAACATGCATTCAAACATTCAATCATTCAAAAATTCAAACATTCATTCAGACAGTCATTCAAGCAGTCATTCAAACATTCAAACATGCATTCAAACATGGATTCAAACATTCAAACATTCATTCGAACATTCAGACATTCATTTAGACATTCAATTAATCATCCAAACATGTATTCAAACATTAAGACATTCATTCAAACATTGAAACAGTCATTCAAACATTCATGGGTTCAGAAATTCAATCACTATAAAATAAAAAAATGAAGCTCGAATGTTTATAGGTTTGAAAGTCTGAAACTTGCAGTAGAGTTACAAGACTGAATCCTTGTGATGACACACTTCCGAGCATACATCCTACACGTCATATATAAACATGATCGGCTCAAGCGTGCAAATCGGAAACCGCTAAGTGCACGTAGCACGTTTGCATAAACAGTGCTCTTGAGGTACCCTCGTGGATCACGTGCGTGAGCGGATAAGGGGTTAATTGCGAGTGAACTTCTACTTCGAAGTCGGAACGGTGACTACTTCCCTTCGCAAACAACTCCTTTCGAGACACCCAACTTTCCATTTCCAAGATTTCTGGAGTTCCAGCGATTTTCCGCGAACCCGACGACATCTCAGCTGGCAAGCAGCATCTCCCCATAAACTTCGAGTCCCATGGTATTCGCGATGCGTTTGGGGCAAAACAGTCGAAACGTAGCCAACGAAAGAGGAGGATGGGGATGACGGGCTTGAAACTTAGATAGGATGCCGGTTTCGAGCGGATCAATTTAACAAATTTGTCTTGCAAAGCAGAAGCAGCCTCTGCTCGTCGAACAAAACCCGCGGGACCCGACATCTATCCGAGTATCCTCGAGGATACGACACGTGTTCACCGATAATATTGAACACGTTGATGTGCGCGTGGCTGAGGTACCCTCGGACTGGGAGCGTAATATTATGCGAGAGAAAATGCAGGAAACTGATACACACGGTGTACCTTGCTGGTAATATTCTCTATGTATTTATGGTAAACGGTTTAAAGGGTGTGTATCCATATAGAGGTATCTGATGGACAGAGAGATGAACGGCTTATCATCGATGGACGGAGCAGTTGTGGAATGTGGAATAGGTAGAATGATACCGAATCTTTTAATTTGTGAGTTTTGGAATTTTTAGATTTATTAATAGAAGGTTGTAATGTAGTCTTGAATTTGGTTTTGTTAGGTTGGAACAATATGGAATCTTATCATTTAATCTGTGACTTTTGGGATTTTTAGATTTATTAATAGGAGGTTGTGATTTAGTTCTGAATTTGGTTAGGTTAGGTTAGAACTATACGAAATCTTAATTTCTAATTTGTGAGTTTTGGAATTTTTAGATTTATTAATAGGAGGTTGTAATTTAATTTTGTATTTGGTTAGATTAGGTTAGAACAATACGAAATCTTCTAATTTGTGAGTTTTGGAATTTTTAGACATATTAATAGGAGGTTGTGATTTAGTTCTGAATTTGGTTAGGTTAGGCTAGAACAATATGGAATCTTATTTTTTAATTTGTGACTTTTAGGATTTTTAGGTTAATTAATAGGAGGTTTTGATTTAGTTTTGAATTTATTGGTATTGCTGCGATGGTGAGTTTTGGGGGGTTGATTTGCATAGGATTACATTTGCAAATTTCTGAATTTGTAGATTACAGAGTTATGAAGATTGATATTAATTATGCAATTATGCAGTAAACTTGTAGATTTGAAAATTACAAAATTTGTAACTGTTGTGTTTCTGCATTATTGAATTATTAAAATAACAAGTTATTTATCAAATTAATTATCAAATCATTAAATTAGGAAATTATCATATCATTAAGTTACCCAATGACCAAATTTGTAAATTAGTAAATTACCAAGTACCTAAATTACCATATACTCAAATTACCAAATTGACTTGAGCCCCAAATTTCTAGGTTCTCAAGTTTACAAACACCAAAATTCCTAAATTTGCATATCCTAGATTCACAAATTCTACAGTATCCCAACATTAAACTTTCAAAGTACCTACGTCTACTTTCTAAGCCTGCAAATTCTTAGAGCCTCAAATCCCTTGTATACAAATTCCTACGTCACTAAATTTCGAAGTCTCTAAATTCCATAGCAGAATCACAAAATTCTTAGGTTCACATAATTAGATTTTGATTAAATCACCAAATCTTCAAATCTCCAACTTCAAAGTTACTAAATTTTCATACTCAAAATTTCCAAAACTCCAAAATCTCTAAATTTTTAAATTATGAATCTCCAATATCTTCTAGACAACAAATTATAAAATTCCCAAATTCGTATATCCCTAAATCTCGAAATTCTAAGCCCTTGAATCCCAAAATACCCAAATTTCCAAATTCCCAAATTTCCAAATTCCTAAATTCCCAAATTCCCAAATTCTCAAATTTCCAAATTCCCAAATTCCCAAATTCCCAAATTCCCAAATTCCCAAATTCTCAAATTCCCAAATTCTCAAATTTCCAAATTCCCAAATTCTCAAATCCCTCAATCTCGAAATTCTCAAGTCCCAAATACCAAAATTCCTAATTCTCCAAATCTCCAAATCCTCAAATTCCGAAACTCTCGAATTCTCAAATTCCCAAATCCCTAAATCTCGAAATTCTCAAACCCCAAATTCCCAAATTCCTAATTCTCCAAATCCTTAAATTCCAACTTCCCATAACCTCCAAATCCCCAAATTCCAAAACCCCCACGCAAACCTCAGACCCCTCAAATTCCAAAATCCCCAAATTCCCCTCTCCCAATTCCCAAACCACCCCTAAATTCTCACATCCCAAAATTGAACAAATCCTATCGTCTCTCGATACCTCCCCTTTAAAATCTCCAACCGCTAAAAACTCGCCCCCATTACGTCTCCCTACAACAAAAACTCGCCCAAGTCCACTCACAATTACGAAACAACGTACAGAATAAACGAAAGAAACAAGCGAGAAAACAAGGCAAACGCTAATAATAAGAAATCTGAAGCGTACTGTCGAGCTAGGAGACGATGATCGTCGTTATTGGACGCTCGATAACACTGTTCGTAACTGCGGAACAGGCTACGTACACGAAGTGGACAACACGTCGACCCACATCGAGGAGGACGTCGAACGAAGGACACGGCCGATACAGGGTAAGTGGCGGCAGGATCTGTGATTCCAGCAGAAGCTACAACGACGTGTAGCGCGTGGCGGTTTGCGAGCTTGGCCTATGCATAAAACATGAGCTCGACCCGCTGGACTGTGCCTCGAATCGGAATTATTTACCCTGGTTAGCCGGACTCGCCGGAATTACGGTGGAACCGTGTTCGACGATGAAATCGAGGAAACGTGCCGCATCGTCGCGCACCCTCGATACCATTATGCCGTAAGGTGGCTTCGCGCTCGTCTTCGACTTTTCAAATACGTTTAATTTCATTTTTGCTGTTTCTAATATTTCAATTATTATTTCGGCAAAATTCAAGCAACATTCATTTGTAATTTCTTGTGTATAGATTTTCATTTTTTTATAAGTTATTTGTAATAATCATTTCCGTAGTATTCTTCAAATATATTTTGTAGAGCAATCATTTTGGTATATTTTTTTTCAGTGCCGTGAAATTGATAAAAATACCTCAAGAGACAATATTAATGATATACGGAAAGTTTATTACAAATATATTTCAAATTATTGGAGATTGACATGAAAGTAGATTTGCTTGATTTAAATTTCCCGCGCGTTTGCACGACAATTTTAAAGGAACAGCGTTTTCGAGAGAACAAAGGTGCCGACAGAGTGTCGCTTCTGGTTTACTCTGTGGTATTAACCCCTAACATATTTCTGACGCACTCGCAGTTAAAATACAATTTTACTCGATTTTTTTATTCGTCTGAGTTTGAAGATTAATTCAAATTTATGACGAATGGCTGAATATAAAATTGACGTAACATTTTAAACTTCTTTTAATTTTTTTAATAACAGATGGTTAAGGCTGACGCATCTGATACGTAATTTATACAGCAATAATTAAATAGAAAATTTTTATTTTAATTTTACCACATAGGTTGTAAAATGTCTAGTACTTCTTAGGTAACATTGAAAAAAATAATTTTGAAAACTAAAATATAAATGTTTACCCAATACACATTTTGTTTAATATATCCCTATTGCAATTGATAAAAAAAATATATATATATTTTCAAAATTATTTTTTTCAATGTTGCCTAAGAACTTGACATTTTACAACCTATGTGGTAAAATTAAAATTTCTTAAAAAAAATATACATAATATGAATTTTGTATTCATATGTGTGCATGAACATTGAACATAAATGAACATTGAACAAGTGAACACAATAAGACAAATAATATATAAAAATATGTATAAAATAGTCTCCTCGAAATTATCGATTCAGAAGAAACGTTTAAATTTCGAAATGGCGACCGATTTACGGTGATTCTTCCTGCCTCTTCCCTTATCGCCTTGCTGTTTCTGAAAGTTCGTTTTTTCACGGTGATACGGAATAATGCACGCGGCACAATTCCGAGAAAAAGCGCCAACTCAGATGTCTCGAGTGTTTGCAAGACTCGAAAAAATGGGTCGATTGAAGCTCGCGAGATCTCGGATCCGACGAGGATAGCAACGCTGATTGTGCTCATGGTCGAATAGAGAAAAAAATATCCGTGAGATAGCGAGCAGTGATTGCTCGATAAATCCGAACGATTCGATTGAAAGAAAAAAGAACGTAAAGGACTGGCATTAGATTGAAAACTAAATTCGCCGCCATTTCCGTGGCATTTTTTCGCTCGAAGGCGATTGAATTAAGATACAAAATTCAGCGTAAATCTTATTAGAAATGTTCTCGATAATTCGTTAAGAGGCATTTCAGAAATTGTTACTTGAAACTTTTGTTACTGAAACTGAGAATAAGTCATTTTCCGACTTTGAGTTTTGAATTTCGCGCCATGTAATCTAACCTGTAATATCAATATAATCTGATGTAAAGCTCCTAGAAAGTAAAAAGTGCATAGTAAAAATGTTAAACCACGTTGTTTTCAAGAATAGTGATACTAAGTTAAAATAATCAAGATTGTTAATATAAAATATATTATAAATAAATTAAATATAAGTCTGTGTCAGAAGAAAGATGAATCACTTCATCTTGTATTATGTAAGTAATAAGAAGTTTTGATACAAAATTCTAGTGTTTACAGAATATTAAATATTAGTACATTATATACAGTAATTATAAACATTATATACATAATAATAATAGTAAATTATATACAATATTAACCTATCTCTGTTACGATGAAGGTACTTCAAGTTTTCTTTTAATACTGATTTAAGGTCTTGTTCAGTCACAAATAAACAAATACTTTTACGATTTAATTTAATATAATTCAAACTATTTTTTTTTTAACATTTCCACAAATAATACTTACATCTAATTTGTAATATATTACTTGTTACTGCCGTATATGACTTCTACCTAATTTACAGTATATTACATGCTACATAAAACAAATTATGTTAAACAAAATTGCATAACAAACTCACCAACATGCCATTTGCATATTTTAAAAATACTATCTGCACATATAGTAATATGAAACATTATTTACACTAGTCTTACAGATTTATCGATATTCACAGCGCAATAATAACAGTGTTACATTTCACGCCCACACCACGACAGCCTATAATTCCATATTGAATCGTTCGGTGACGTGAAAATCTCGAAATCCACGCGAAAAATCATGCATACGTCTGCAACGAAATATTCCGTCGATCAGTTACGTCGGTGCAGCCTCGCGTGACAATCACGACGTGTTTGGACGAAAAATTTAAAAGGATAGACGGTCGGGTCTACGAATTTTTCAGGAATCGATTCCGCCGCTCGTTTAAACATTCACGCCGGCAATGGAGAAAGAAAGGCTGTCGAGCAGCAATGTCAATACGATGTATAAGGATTTTCATATTCGGCGAACAAAGGTGGCATGGCGGACTGTTTGGTAACCGGGACACGCGTTCGATGGTTCCGCCGGAATTCCCGATCAGTTTTCTTCCCTTCGGGCAGCAGGAAAATTTCCACCACGAAAGCGAAAAGAAAAGATCGAGTAGGCTGAGGGATGGATGTAACTTCGACGGACTATGCTGTGGGGAATATTCTGTTCCGAGAAATCTTATTAAAAACTACATAAATCAGATCTTGTACGGAGGGGAGAAAATAGCATTTTTTACGTTTTCTGATCACGTTTTAAAAATGTAGGATTATGTCCAAAGCTTGTTGGTCACCCAAACTTTCAAGTAGTCGAAGTATGACATTTTTCTGCAGTTGCTATTATTGTTGCTTTGTTGAATTTCGAGACACTCTCACAAGTCAAGTACATGGCAAAATATAGTCTAGTCGTTGGAAGTGAAATTTATTTCTTAGAGTCCACTTATATTCAGTTATTGGGATTCTAATGATTTCACACATCATTTAATTGTCACATGACGCTGTGACGCACATACTAAGAAGGAAACCTTAACTTTGTGGAAAACTTAAAAAACATTTTCTAACTGTTTATAAAATTTAAAAATAAAAAATTTGAAGAGTTTAAAAAATTAAAAGTTTAGGAGCTTAATAATTTAAAAATTTAAAAAAAGTATATTCTAATAAATAAGAAAAATGACAAATAATAATAGATCAGATAGATGGTTCCATTTGGGTGTCAGGAATTGTTGGAATAAAGATATCAAAGAACAATTACTATACCAGCATCCGTATACATTCATCGACACAAAACCGAATGGATAGACATTGTAACCAACGAACATGAACACCAGTATATATTGGCAGCTGTCAATTCTCTGTCCAATAGTTGTAAACAAGAGGAAACGTGGATCTCTAGGGACAGTGACTATCCAGACGGGATACATATCTGTTGTATCCATGGGATCTACGGTATGAACGTGGTCGATTAATAAATCAAGTAGGAAGATTAGATAAGATGTAAAACATTCATAAGACAGTAAACGGTGCAATTTCAAATTACAACATTTTTCATTTTATTCTTTACTGCATTTTCACAACTTTTTTTTGTTAAGGTTTTCACAAACTTGATAGGAGAGCAATGGAATTATTGGTATTACATTTTTTATTCGAATCGAAATAGAAACTTGGGGTATTAGAAGAGGATTTTAGTATTTTTAGTGATTTACTGCAGACTCTCGTTATATGGCCGTGATACGATTTCTCTATCTACTGTATATTCGTAAAAATACGAAACGAGGAAGATATAATTACATTATAAATAAAAGAATATATAAAAACAATTGAAAGAATATATAAAAGAAGACAAATATGTAGATAACATAGCAACATAGAAGAAACATAGAAAAGAATATTCAAATAACAGAAATAAAAATTGTTGATCATGATTCAGGTTGATCTCACAAGGTTTTCTTCAACACAAAAACTATCAAACTGTTCAAATGATTCATAAATTCAGTATTTTTACAAAAATAAGTTTTAACCCTTTGCACTCGAAGGTAATTTGACTGTTTGCAAACAGCAACTTTAAAAATTAGTTAAAAAGTTCAATGAATTCTTTTGAGGTTATTATTTCTCTACTAATAATTTCCACTATTATTTGTTTCACTGTGTTTATACATCCCACGTGCCATATTATAGAGTCAGTTAAAAATGCTTATTTCAAATTATTGTGTTAAATAAAATGGTGAGTGAGAGTCACCTCTTGAGCGCAAAGGATTGATTGCAAAAACATTTCTTGAAACCTGCGTTTAAAATAAAAAAAATAATGTGTGCGTTAAATTATGTTTCATAGTTTCATAGCAAATTCAAATGAAATCAATTGAATCTGAACCCAGAATATTGTTTGTTGCAGATCTACCATTAATAACGGATTCAGCATCAACGAAATCGACGACGGCGGCAAAGCGATCGGTACCGACGGATGCCCCCATGTTGAATTACATATTTGATGCACACAGCACGTTGAACAAACATCAGCATTATCACGATCATCGGTGGGGTCCTCATTTCGAAGGGGAGAGCAAGAATATGACTATTCAAGCTGGTGGTAGTGCTTTGCTGGATTGCAGGATATCAATGTTACAAGATAAAACTGTAAGTTTCATTTTTTATTTGTATTAACCTTTTGAAGTCTGTCATATTCAAATTTTGGAACGGGGTTGTTAATATTTGAAATTTTAGTCATTTTAGTTTTGAAGTTTTAGAGACTTCAGTTACTATATTTGGGATGGTGAGTCTGTGGTGCCTTTTGAGAACAATTAGATTTTTTATTACATCGATTATTTAATTTTGAAAATATGGAACCTGAGAATTTGAATAACTGGAAAATTATATTTAAAAGTTTGAGAAGTTGGAGATTTGGAGATTTTAGAATTTGGGAATTTAGGGATTTGGGAATTTGGGGATTTGAGAATTTGGGGATTTGAGAATTTGGGGATTTGAGAATTTGGGGATTTGAGAATTTGGGGATTTGGGAATTTGGGAATTTGGGAATTTGGGAATTTGGGAATTTGGGAATTTGGGAATTTGGGAATTTGGGAATTTGGGAATTTGGGAATTTGGGAATTTGGGAATTTGGGAATTTGGGAATTTGGGAATTTGGGAATTTGGGAATTTGGGAATTTGGGGATTTGAGAATTTGAGAATTTGAGAATTTGGGAATGTGGGGATTTGAGAATGTGGGGATTTGAGAATTTGGATTTGAGAATTTGAGAATTTGAGAATTTGAGAATTTGAGAATTTGAGAATTTGAGAATTTGAGAATTTGAGAATTTGAGAATTTGAGAATTTGAGAATTTGAGAATTTGAGGATTTGAAAATTTGAAAATTTGAGAATTTGGGGATTTAGGGATTTGAGAATTTGGAGATTTAGGGAATTTGAGAATTTGAGAATTTGAGAATTTGAGAATTTGAGAATTTGAGAATTTGAGAATTTGAGAATTTGAGAATTTGAGAATTTGAGAATTTGAGAATTTGAGAATTTGAGAATTTGAGAATTTGAGAATTTGAGAATTTGAGAATTTGAGAATTTGAGAATTTGAGAATTTGAGAATTTGAGAATTTGAGAATTTGAGAATTTGAGAATTTGAGAATTTGAGAATTTGAGAATTTGAGAATTTGAGAATTTGAGAAGTTAAAAGTTTAAACAAAAAAAATGTGAAAAGTGGAAAATTTAAATTTGAAATTTTTACTATTAAAAAATTAAAACTTCAAACGTATAAATTTAAAAATTTCGAAACTTTCAAGCCTCTAAAATGACTGCAAATTCACAAATTGCAAAGCTTTCAAACCCATAAATTTCTAAATTCAAATTCAGAGATTGCAAAGCTTTCAACATTCAAAATTTATACATTCAGATTTATAGTTTTAGTGTTCAAAAATGTGAAAACTGGCAGACCAGAAATCTAGCAATTTAAAGATCTAAAAACTTCGTTAATCCCGATATTCATAGATATGGTAATTCTTGAAAGTCGTGAAACTGGTGTTAAATAACTAAACCGTCAAAAAAATACTCCGTCCGCCAAGCAATTTGTTCGAAAAACAAGCTACAAGTACTGTACATAAAATTCGTGTGTTGATATTCATGCACGAACCGTATACATATAAATCATGAAATTAATTTGCCTCTAACGCGTTTTAATTACTTTTCCACGGTCTAAAAATGGGAGAAAAATGTTCGCGTCGTTACGATGTCGATAGCCTGCATCAATGGTCCCGCAGATTCGGTCGTAAACTCGCACGGCGATTGTCCGGTGTGTGCTGAAATAATGTCCGGTAATAAATATTGTCCTTAGCCGAGTTATGCACTTTCAAGATAATCATGCATGGATAATCGCGTTAGTCGACACCGTCGTTAGCACTAATAGCAACAGCAACGGCATTAATAGCCTAATATTACGCTGAGTCGGGCTCGACCCTGGGTTCAACGGAGTGCAACGTTTTCAGAACATAACTACTTCTGCAGGACAAGTTTCTGCGAAGTTTGCTCGACGTTTTGGCGTTTTAAGATAGTCCGTTTCCCGTGAAAAGGTTATCGGGGTAAATCGCTAACTGTGGGGGTTTAATAACCCTCTGGTCATTAATGACATTCATTCGGGTTTAGATTTCTTACCGTTAATACTTTCAGTGATATCTTTTAATATACGAGAAGTTTTAACAATATTCTTCTCAAAATAACATTCTTATATCTACACTATACAGGGTGTATAAAAAAGGTCGGAACCCTTGAATATTTCGAAAAATATAAGTTTTATCAAAAAATGTTTCAGTCAAAAGTTGTAGGGTTTAAAAAGTTCTATTTACTGGCAATATCATTTTGACCTTGAAGAGTCACTGGAAGGTCACTGGAAGGTCACTTCAATTTTTTTAAATGGAACACCCTATATATTTTTGCATATTCTTGTAGCTTACCTCGAGAGCTTCAATTCAATTTTGAATTCAATTTTAAATTATTCTGTTCATAAAAGTATTAGGGTAAGATTATTGAAAAATGAATATTTTGTAAGATATTTTGTAATTTGTCAAAATATTGGAACTTTCAAATCTTAACAACTCAAAAAGTTTTTAATAAAAAAATACTTTATCATAGTGTTTTAGAAAGCTCTCGAGGTAAGCTACAAGAATATGCAAAAATATATAGGATGTTCCATTTAAAAAAATTGAAGTGACCTTCACATGACTTTCCAGTGATTCTTCAAGGTCAAAATGATATTGCCAGTAAATAGAACTTTTTAAACCCTACAACTTTTGACTGAAACATTTTTTGATAAAACTTATATTTTTCGAAATATTCAAGGGTTCCGACCTTTTTTATACACCCTGTATAGTATTATACGATATTTATACGATTTATAAGATTCAAGTGAAAAAATTAATAAATTGTTATGGATGGGGTACGACAGTCGCAAGTAATAGGCCCAGCAGGCATTAGGGGCAGCATATCGAGGGGCAAAATATCGAGAAAGGGTGCTAAGGTCACTGTAGGAATGTATTTTGGAGCAGCGCTGGGACACTCCGCTGGTCTCGGACAATTAGTGGTGAGGGGTATTTAAGACAATGGGGTATTTAGAGATATGAGGCATTTGGGGATTTGGGATATTTAGGAGTCACGAACATTCAGTGATGTAGGGCATTCAGGGCTCTGGGACACTCCACTGCATAATCAGTAGTGTGAGGCACTTAGGGATGTAGGGCATTCAAGGCTACGGGACATTTAGGGGTGTATGGGCATTTAAGAGTATGGGACATTCAGTGGTTTAGGGGTGTAGGACATTTAGATGCTTGTGTCACTTCTCTGAGTCCCAATCGGTGGTGTGAGGTATTTAGGGATGGGGGCCATTCAAGATTATGAGGCATTTAGGGGTGTAGGGGCATTTAAGAGTATGGGACATGTAGTGATATAGGGGTGTGGGACATTTAGATGCTTGTGACACTTCTCTGAGTCTCAGGCAATCGATGGCGTGAGGCATTTAGGGATGTGGGGCATTCAAGGCTATGAGATTTTTAGGGGTGTAAGGGCATTCAAGAGTATGAGACATGTAGTGATGTAGGGGTGTGGGACATTTAGATGCTTGTGACACTTCTCTGAGTCTCAGGCAATCGATGGTGTGAGGTATTTAGGGATGGGGGCATTCAAGTTTATGGAGCATTTAGGGGTGTGTGGTATTCAAAAGTATGGGACATTGAATGGTATAGGACATCTAGGGGTGTGGGACATTTAGATGTCCTTCACACTTCGCTAGGTCTCGAATAATCAGTGGTAAGAAGTATTTAGGGATGTGGAGCATCTAATGCTATATGTGGCATTTAGGGGTAGTGGGACATTTAGCTGCCTGTGACACTTCTCTGTGCCTCAGACAACCAATATTGTGAAGTAATTTGGGGGGGTGGGTGCCTATAACTCTTCCCTGAGTCTCAGACAATCAATATTGTGAAATAATTTGGGGGTTGGCTGCCTGTGACTCTTCTTCTCTGAGTCCAGGCAACCAATTATGGTGGTAATTTAGGGTTTTGGGGGTGTTTAAGCATTTGGGGTATTTATGGGGTTTTTGTGTGTGGATCATTTAGGGTTGTGTGGGTCAGTGTTAGGGGGTTTAGGGGTACTCAGCTGAGTGTGACCTATCAGGGTTGGAAGCTTCCAGGGAACCTAATATTGTTGGGGTTTTACCTAGTTAGTGTAGGGCAAAGTATTAATGTTATCATCGGTGTTCAGCAGTGAATGCTTTCCATGTGTGCATCATCGGGCTTTGTGAATGGTTCCTTAGGGGTGCGGGTATGAAACCAACTTGCAATCCCCTAACATCAAAAATGGGGGTATGCCTTTGCTTCGTGCGGTACGGGTAAAGACCACGTACGCCGAGCGGAGGCGTACCCGGTCGTCTTCTCTCGCGGTCCTTTATTAATAGTCGCTGGGACTCATTATAACTGCGAGAGCGATTGGCCGCCTAGCGGCGTAGCGCGAAGTACGCGTCCTGCGCTTACGCTACATAGTAGAGTCAATATAACGAAAAGGACTGCGATTATGGCAGTCGATAAAGATCAAATTTATTGTATATACAGTGTACCTTGATAATAATATCTAAATAATGATATATAAGTAATTAGTCCACTAATGAAAGTGCATAAATGACTAAACAATTGACTATAACAAATTATATTGTGGGAAGTGAAAGTAACAAAACAGCTGCGGGTCAGTGACCGAACGTCGGTAATAAATGTTAATAAACTACTTATCTATTGGTTACCGACGTTGCAAGCGGGAAAAAGTGAGCGGACATTCGTCCCTGAAATGAGCATCGAAATAAAAGGGAGTTCTTTTCAGGCGAAATCACGACGTATCTTAGCGTTTTAAAATAAGGCGATAAAAGTCGTTACTGTTTAAAGTTAAAAATAGTGTTTAAGATCTTCTAAATTGGTAAATAAAGATTGTGTTAGAAACTTTGCGGTCTTAATAAAAGCAGTGCACTCCTAAATCTTTTCCTACAATATCGATAGAATAATATTAAAAATGCCTAAAATTAAAATAAAATTAATAATAATGAACTCGGGAAATAATATCAATATTCAAACTGACAGATATTAAAATTATAAATATA